CCCTATCTCATTCGTGGCCTGAGAATCGAGTTCCCTCTCGTTATCCACTCCCATAGCAATCAAGCCTGCCAGCTCTCTGGAGTCGTTTGAGTGGGACCAGACTCCTATAGGGGAGCAAAGCACTCACTCGATACTGGCTAGCCCTCATTAGTTATGGTACAAGCCACTTACCCACAATTTCGATGGAATTCGAATACGTGAGCGAATTCCATAGACGGAACACGTCAAGGCTGTGAGGTTTCAACCATTATGCTTCAGACAATTGCGTGCTTTGAAAAGATTGCCGACAGATTAAGGATGGCGTTGCTACTTCTTAGGCTTTTCATTTGTGTCAGCACTCATGTTTGTTATTGTAATGTCACGGTAACAGTAAATCTAGTTGTAACGTTGTATTTCAAACATTGGCACAAGCTTTATTCAATCAAAACTTTACCCATATCAGGATTCGATTACCCATGTGAAGATCGTCCCCATACTTACACCTTGAATTCAGCTGCTGTGCAATGCCTGAGGGAACACTCGAAGCAGCCACATCCACGTCGTTCTTGACGAAACTTGACACAGAGCTTGAACGACAAAACTCTTCACATTAGAGGTAATGCATATGTATTATAAAATCCTTCTTCGAAGACGGATGACCAGTATGGACCTGAAACTCTCCGCAGACCAATGGGCTGTCTAACTTAGAACTGCACTGCTCCTAATGTGGTTCAGAATCGAACGCATAGCATATTATAAAAGACTCATTGAAAATGCAGATCGTATGTGGCCATAGTGCTTTACAATAGGACAACTCGTTTATCAACAAAGTGATGAGGTTTCGTCAATGATATTTATGTATTATGCCTCATAAGCGATAGTAACCGTGAAGACCATCGAAGCGTGAGCTTTGTCGATTATTGTAGATGGCATTTTGGGGTACAGGATCTGTTAATACGTCTCTGGTTTCGAACAACTGAGAGCATTGTCCAGGGCATACCTGAAAAAGGCAATTGACGAAGTAGAGCGACTTCATCAACGGCAAAACAATTTGCGAAGAAATTTAGTACCAAACGCTAAGCTACTTACCACCATTGATACTGGAGGAATGGTATGCTTCTCAATAGATCCATCGTTGCTCAAAGGGCTGGATGAAAGAAACTGAAATTCCATGAACATTTTTATGAAGATGAAGGTAAGGTGTGTGTGGAACATTAGGCTTAGGAGCGTAGTCAGCTCATGAGTCTTCAATCGTAATTTTCAGAGACTCGTTAATCGTAAATAGATTAATTGAAAAGTGGTTAGTTATTATTCGGTGTAAAAGTGGTGTGATAGAATTGAGTGGATCCATCCGGAACGTATGACGTGAGTGTGGTCCAACAGCATGAGGATGATGGCGGATGGTTCGCTTATTGATACTTCGGCGCGCTCGACGATCTTACTCGCCTTTCGATTTAATCACTGAGAACCCCTTCTATCTTGTCCTAAGGTAGAGGATCGTAACTCCGTTGTCATGATAACCATTCCTCTGGGAGGCAGGAAAGTGTACGCCGGGGTTGCGACGTTAGTCTCGACTGACATTACTTCATTATCGATTGCTAGCTATAGGTTTTTCTGTCATTCAATCGAACCCTTACGAATTGGCGATAAGTAAGCCAATAAATCTCGACCGCATATATATTAGGTTGAGTCGTAAGTCCTCGGACAAAATGATAGCGATGACTTCTAGAGATCATA